TGCATCCCCGCCGCCCCCGCCGCGCCGCCTCCTCGAGCGCCCGTCTGAGATGAAGAAGGCGTCCATGGAGTAGCTGTCGGTCACGGCCGCCTCCCCGCGGAAGTAGCGCGCCGCAGGCCTTTCACCGCTCTCGGGGTCGCTATACTCCTCCGGCGCCGCCGGCGGGTACGCGGGCTCTGCCGGCGCCAGCTCCAGGCCCGGCTTCTGGTCCGCATCGTAGCTGCTCGGGGGCAGGCAGTGCGGGGCGTAACCTGGAGGGGCGAGAAATGGGGAGAGGGTTTGAGGGTGACGCTCTCGGGACGACTTACTCCTTTAGGGAGGTCACTCCCTAAGCCCATCAGCTTGCGTCCCGGTGGCAGCTCTTGGAAGACAGTGGTCCGACGTGCATCTCAGCTCGTGGTGTCAGGTTGCCTGGGTTCACATCCTTCCCCACGGGCCATAGTACAAATACTGCTTCCCACCGCGTGACGCAGGGTCGGCATGGGCCTACTGGCTTTGCGTTCATTATCTTAAATGTTCACATCCACGCAGTGAAGGTTTTATTATTATTACACCCCTTTTGCAGGTAGAGAAACAGAGAGGGAGGAGAGAGGTGTCAGTCTAAGCTTACTACTAAGTGGTGGAGCCAAGATTGGAACTTGAGCCATTTGACACCACAGCCCACGTACTCTACTCCAGCATCCCCTCATTCCAGCCCTATAACCTCTGAATGTCAGTGTTCTTAGCTACAAAATGAAGTTTGTAATTGGACACCCTCTCCAAGGATCGCTGCAAGAGCAGAGTGTATTAAGCTCCTACTGTGCGCTGGCTCTGTCTGGGTGCTGTACACATGCAAATTCATTTTAATAGTCACAGACTCACGAAAGCAGGTACGATTATAATCCCCCTTTTACATATAAGGAAATTGAGAGAGAGCGGCACACACAGTAATTGCTATATAAATGTTAGCTATTATAAATAATTATACTTTTTACTTGCTTGAAAAAGTGACTTCACTGAAGATTGTTTAATTGTCTGCCCCACTACACTCCCAGCTCCACAGGGCTGGGTCTGCATGCCCAGCACTTGACTGTATAGATGTTGCGTAAATGAATCACAGTCCAGTTAGACCCACCTCCCTAGGTAGCTGGAGGTGTTGAAGAGGGTCAAGTGTGTGGCATGTGCTAGGTAGGTGTCCAGGAGGGGGACGTCCTGGTACTGGTTCCCAAGCTCAGTTCACTCTCATTCTTCTGGAAGTCTTCCCCAGTCTTCAGCGAGAATTTGCCTCCCCCTCCTCCTTCTGCCTTGGAGTTGGGCCAGAAATCCTGTCTGCCATGGGTTTGAGTGATTGATGGGAAAGCAGGCTGGGGCTTCCCAGGGGATTCCGTAAGGGCTTCTCAAGGGCAGGGGCCACCCCAGTTGGTCTCAGCCTCCCATGGCTAGCCCAGTGCTAACACCTTCCCTGGGAACCCTAGTGCCTGGGCTCCCTGGAGAGTTTCTGGCAGACATCAAAACAAACTTATCATTTTGGCACTTAATTACAAGTGTTACCATTGTCCTTAGATTCTGGAAAACAATGGAGGTTAGGCCCTTTCTCCAGGTTTCACAGCTGGGGAGTGGCAGACAGTGGGATTTGACTTCCTCCTGCTGACCCCTGAGACCTGGAACCACCCCTCTTGGGCAGCCTTCTCTGCTGAAGTGAGCAGGTGGAGACTGGATTCCAGTGATGCTCAGACTTCCCGCTGGGTTGATTCAGCCTCTAGGCCTTTCCTCTCATCTGGTATTTAGGATGGTCACACAGACTCCCTCAACCCTGAAGGCGAGGGGACATCCTCATTTTTTTCTCTCTTCAGCAGCCAGCACAGGGCCCTCTGCACTCCTAGGGATTGGGGTTTGTGGAGTAGGATGGCTCAGTGGGGAGGTGCTCTGTGGTCAGATGCAGGGAAGGGTGGTGGTAGTTTTTTTTTAACCTGGGGGAAAGGTACACAACCTCTCAGGACCTCTCAGAGTCTCTCAGGGTCCTGTCCTTCCTCTCCCATCTGCCTTTGTTTGGAGGTTCCCCTACCTTCCGCCCCAAGAACCAGGCCCCAGGATGTTCAGGGGGTGTTGTTTTAGACTGAGTGAAAGACCCGTAGAGTACTTGCAACTCCCTACTTGTCCTGCATCCTCATACTGTAATTGTTGATGAAAATAATGGATGTCGAGCCCTTAGCTGTGCCAGGCTCCATGCTAACTGCTCCTCTTCCCACCTCTCACTGAGTCGTCGCAGAAGCACTCATGACAGATGGGGAAACTGAGGAACAGAGCAGTGGTGATACTTGCTCACAGGTCGGAGCAAGGGTGTACTGCACTGTTCCCTTCGTTTCCCACAGGCTGGGAGGTCCCTGAGGAAGGGGCTGTGGCTGGGTACTTCCCTTCCTACCCCAGGGCCCCAGCTAGAGGACACTCAGTAAGTATCTGTGGAACAAGATTTGCCATGTGGACTTCATGGCATGGCCCAGCAGGTGTCCTGTAGGCAGTCCTGTCCACCCCGGCTTGAGGCTCAGGATAGGGCTATACCTCACTTGGCTTGGGCTGTGGGGTGGGAAGGACTATGAGGGTCTCTGACAGATTCTAGCTGGATGACCTTGGGCAGGTTGGACATCGTTCTGTGCCTCGGATCCTTGCTGTAGAAATGGGGACAGTATGGAATCCTTTGGGGGCACAGCTGAAAGGTGACCAGTACCTTCCATGCTCATTTTTTATTTTTTTTTAAAGAATTATGTATTTAATTTTATTATTATTAATTTACTATAGGACACATGCACTCACCAGAGAGAGAAAGAGAGAGAGAGAGCGAGAGAGGGAAAGTGAGAAAGCAAGCCGCCAGGTCCCAGATTCGAACCATGGTCAACCATATGGGAGTCCAGTGCCTTCACCACCACACCACCTGCTGGCCTCATTTGTTTATTTTTTAAATTTTACCAGAGGGCACATGCATTCACTAGAGAGAGAGACAGAGAACGAGAGAAAATGAGAAAGCACCTGCCCCCCCTCCATGGGGATGGTCTCACAACAGCAACTTCTCATCCATTTCTCCATCCTTTTGGGATTTTCCTTTTGGGATTTTGGATATGCATGCATATGCGCACCTGGCATATTTCTCAAGCTACCAGGTCTGGGACTCAAACTGTGGATTTGGCCATATGGGATCCAGCTGCCTTAACCACCATGCCCCAAGCCGACCACACATTCTGTTATTGAAGAAGGATGACCTACAGGCTAAGAACACAACTTCGGTGCCAGACTGCTGGATGGAGTACTGATTTTACCATTTCCAGCTGTTTGGCCTCGGACGAATTACTTGACCTCTCTGGACATTTCCAGTCTCAGCAAGGAGTCTACCAGTGAACTAACTATACGAAACTAACAACTGACACTCCTCGAGCACTTGTCAAACCTTGCTTTTACGGCTTTACACGGGACTGCATTGTAATTTCATGACTAAGGTGGTGCCACTTTACAGATGAGGAAACCAAGGCACAAGGAAGGTAAGTAACATGCCTGGCCTCTTGGAGCTGGTGAGTCAGAGTGGAGATCCTAGCCGTGTGTCTGCTGTAGTAAATCCCCAGCTCAGGTTGGCTGATATGAGCAGTGTCCCCAGATGGGCTTCCATGCTGCAATTTTCTTGGCATCTGCTCTGACACATCTTGCATCTCTCTGGGCCTCTGATTTCTCCCCCAGGGTGTGCAATTTCTACCGCGTGTTCTGATGAGAAAACCTGGAGGATAGTGGGAGCGGTCCCCACCCACACTGGGCTCTCTGCCCATGGCGCCCCCTGCTGGCAGTCTGCAGCACTGCAGCACCTCACTCGTCACTGGAGGCTCTTTGTACCAGTATAGGGGCCTTGGAACAAAGGCAGCTCCTTTGCCTAGGGACTTGGAATTACCTTCAGGACAGGAATTGAGGGCCTAGACCTGATGCCCAGTGGTTGTGGGGTTTTGGCTGGGAGTGGGAGCATCATAGAGTTTGTGTGGCCATGTTAGGAGGACGTAATTCTAATTGGTTGGTGACCTTGGCCAGGCTGCTTAACTTCTCGGGCTGTCTGTACCAGAGGAAGATTGATCAGGTGTTATAAAGATCCTTTGTGTCATGGCTGAATCAGTGTCTCTGTGATGCTCTGGCCCTCCACTGTTCCACCCCGTTCTCAGTTCCACAGACATTTCCCTGTGAGCCCTTGGCATGTTACTTAGCCTCTTTTGCCGTATCCGTATAAGGGAGTTCGGGAGGGATTGGATGAATGAATGCATGTAAAGTGCTTCGTATGGTCCCTGACTCGTTATAGCTGCTTCTAAGCCATTATCTTCATCGTATCATCATTATTCCTACATTTCCTGGTGATCTTGTAAGCTGCCAGAGAGTAGGAGATGCATATGGGTGTCTCTGGCTGCTGTGTGACCTTGGCAAGCTCCCGACCCTCTTGGAGCCTCAGCCCTGGAGAATCTCTTAGAACACTGTAAGCTGGGTTTTAAGCCTATGGAACTCTGGAGATTTGGGGTGCCTTCCTTTGCTCTAAGGGTGACTAGAAGGCAGAGCTACCTATCTTCAACAGGGAGAGACAGGACTCACTTATTTGGATCCCAGAAGAGGCAGGACACCCAACAGAGGAAGGAGTTGGGACCCAGAGAGGAGACCTGAGTCTCTTCCTGGCTCTTGGACTCAGGCTCTCACTGTGTGACCTTGAGTAAATCATGCAGCCTTGCTGGGCTTGGATTCCCCATTGAAGGGATGGGGACCAGAGCCACCTCTGTCTATAGGGCTATGGGGAGGGCCCAGAAGCACTCCTGTCACCTGAGAATGACTTCTGGTTTTCCTGTCCCAATGTCTTGATATTTTAGACTGAAGGTTCAGAATCCATTGCAAAAAAATTCTGTACCCAAAGGTATAGAGAGAAATTGATGAGGATTAAGGCTCTGGGCCCTCTGCAGACAGTCTCATCTAACTTCCTGAGCCCCCCAGGGTGAGAGTGGGGGGATCTGTAACAAGTACTACCATTGCTACTAGTGCTTCAGCTATCACAGCCCTCCCTGTGGGTCAGGCACTGCACTGTGCCCAGAGCCAGAGTGGGCCCAGGATGTGCCCCAGGTCCCTGGAGGGGGAGTCAGGGTCGGTACTTCCAAAACTTCTCCAGTTTTCCTCAGACCTCAGAGAGGTTGTGGAGACCTGCTGGGGAGGGAGAGTTTGCAGTTGGTGGGATAAAGGGTGGTGGGTTTCCTCAAATACCACCACCCAG